TATAGTGGTTAATCGATACAAATAATTAAATTCAACTACAACTTTGCTTATAACTTTCATAAAACTTCGTCTTTTTTGTTCAAATTTTTTCTAAATAATACAACTAATTGCTCCCCATATTACCCTATAGTTTTCTTATTAAATTTTCACTGTTATATTATAAATTTTCACATTTTTCATTATTTTATAGTCGCATATTCACAAATAAAACATAAAATCTTCTCTAACTTTGCATAAAATTTGTCTTTTCTGTTCATATTTTCTTTTTATATAGTGTAACTAATTGCTACCTGTAATTCCCTATAGTTTTTTCATACAATTTTCACAGTAAAATTACAAATTTTCATATAATTCGTTTTCTTAAAGTCGTATTTTCATTAAATTATTAATTTTTTTCAAATCTGCTTTTATTTCGCTCTTTTTGCTTCTGTAAGGTCCGTCTAGTGTAGAAACTGCCATCTGCACTCAAATCTGTAAAATAAAACACGCGGGAATAGAGAAAATCGATACTTACCTAAACCGAGGTATAGTGGTTAATCGATACAAATAATTAAATTCAACTACAACTTTGCTTATAACTTTCATAAAACTTCGTCTTTTTTGTTCAAATTTTTTCTAAATAATACAACTAATTGCTCCCCATATTACCCTATAGTTTTCTTATTAAATTTTCACTGTTATATTATAAATTTTCACATTTTTCATTATTTTATAGTCGCATATTCACAAATAAAACATAAAATCTTCTCTAACTTTGCATAAAATTTGTCTTTTCTGTTCATATTTTCTTTTTATATAGTGTAACTAATTGCTACCTGTAATTCCCTATAGTTTTTTCATACAATTTTCACAGTAAAATTACAAATTTTCATATAATTCGTTTTCTTAAAGTCGTATTTTCATTAAATTATTAATTTTTTTCAAATCTGCTTTTATTTCGCTCTTTTTGCTTCTGTAAGGTCCGTCTAGTGTAGAAACTGCCATCTGAACTCAAATCTGTAAAATAAAACACGCGGGAATAGAGAAAATCGATACTTACCTAAACCGAGGTATAGTGGTTAATCGATACAAATAATTAAATTCAACTACAACTTTGCTTATAACTTTCATAAAACTTCGTCTTTTTTGTTCAAATTTTTTCTAAATAATACAACTAATTGCTCCCCATATTACCCTATAGTTTTCTTATTAAATTTTCACTGTTATATTATAAATTTTCACATTTTTCATTATTTTATAGTCGCATATTCACAAATAAAACATAAAATCTTCTCTAACTTTGCATAAAATTTGTCTTTTCTGTTCATATTTTCTTTTTATATAGTGTAACTAATTGCTACCTGTAATTCCCTATAGTTTTTTCATACAATTTTCACAGTAAAATTACAAATTTTCATATAATTCGTTTTCTTAAAGTCGTATTTTCATTAAATTATTAATTTTTTTCAAATCTGCTTTTATTTCGCTCTTTTTGCTTCTGTAAGGTCCGTCTAGTGTAGAAACTGCCATCTGCACTCAAATCTGTAAAATAAAACACGCGGGAATAGAGAAAATCGATACTTACCTAAACCGAGGTATAGTGGTTAATCGATACAAATAATTAAATTCAACTACAACTTTGCTTATAACTTTCATAAAACTTCGTCTTTTTTGTTCAAATTTTTTCTAAATAATACAACTAATTGCTCCCCATATTACCCTATAGTTTTCTTATTAAATTTTCACTGTTATATTATAAATTTTCACATTTTTCATTATTTTATAGTCGCATATTCACAAATAAAACATAAAATCTTCTCTAACTTTGCATAAAATTTGTCTTTTCTGTTCATATTTTCTTTTTATATAGTGTAACTAATTGCTACCTGTAATTCCCTATAGTTTTTTCATACAATTTTCACAGTAAAATTACAAATTTTCATATAATTCGTTTTCTTAAAGTCGTATTTTCATTAAATTATTAATTTTTTTCAAATCTGCTTTTATTTCGCTCTTTTTGCTTCTGTAAGGTCCGTCTAGTGTAGAAACTGCCATCTGCACTCAAATCTGTAAAATAAAACACGCGGGAATAGAGAAAATCGATACTTACCTAAACCGAGGTATAGTGGTTAATCGATACAAATAATTAAATTCAACTACAACTTTGCTTATAACTTTCATAAAACTTCGTCTTTTTTGTTCAAATTTTTTCTAAATAATACAACTAATTGCTCCCCATATTACCCTATAGTTTTCTTATTAAATTTTCACTGTTATATTATAAATTTTCACATTTTTCATTATTTTATAGTCGCATATTCACAAATAAAACATAAAATCTTCTCTAACTTTGCATAAAATTTGTCTTTTCTGTTCATATTTTCTTTTTATATAGTGTAACTAATTGCTACCTGTAATTCCCTATAGTTTTTTCATACAATTTTCACAGTAAAATTACAAATTTTCATATAATTCGTTTTCTTAAAGTCGTATTTTCATTAAATTATTAATTTTTTTCAAATCTGCTTTTATTTCGCTCTTTTTGCTTCTGTAAGGTCCGTCTAGTGTAGAAACTGCCATCTGAACTCAAATCTGTAAAATAAAACACGCGGGAATAGAGAAAATCGATACTTACCTAAACCGAGGTATAGTGGTTAATCGATACAAATAATTAAATTCAACTACAACTTTGCTTATAACTTTCATAAAACTTCGTCTTTTTTGTTCAAATTTTTTCTAAATAATACAACTAATTGCTCCCCATATTACCCTATAGTTTTCTTATTAAATTTTCACTGTTATATTATAAATTTTCACATTTTTCATTATTTTATAGTCGCATATTCACAAATAAAACATAAAATCTTCTCTAACTTTGCATAAAATTTGTCTTTTCTGTTCATATTTTCTTTTTATATAGTGTAACTAATTGCTACCTGTAATTCCCTATAGTTTTTTCATACAATTTTCACAGTAAAATTACAAATTTTCATATAATTCGTTTTCTTAAAGTCGTATTTTCATTAAATTATTAATTTTTTTCAAATCTGCTTTTATTTCGCTCTTTTTGCTTCTGTAAGGTCCGTCTAGTGTAGAAACTGCCATCTGCACTCAAATCTGTAAAATAAAACACGCGGGAATAGAGAAAATCGATACTTACCTAAACCGAGGTATAGTGGTTAATCGATACAAATAATTAAATTCAACTACAACTTTGCTTATAACTTTCATAAAACTTCGTCTTTTTTGTTCAAATTTTTTCTAAATAATACAACTAATTGCTCCCCATATTACCCTATAGTTTTCTTATTAAATTTTCACTGTTATATTATAAATTTTCACATTTTTCATTATTTTATAGTCGCATATTCACAAATAAAACATAAAATCTTCTCTAACTTTGCATAAAATTTGTCTTTTCTGTTCATATTTTCTTTTTATATAGTGTAACTAATTGCTACCTGTAATTCCCTATAGTTTTTTCATACAATTTTCACAGTAAAATTACAAATTTTCATATAATTCGTTTTCTTAAAGTCGTATTTTCATTAAATTATTAATTTTTTTCAAATCTGCTTTTATTTCGCTCTTTTTGCTTCTGTAAGGTCCGTCTAGTGTAGAAACTGCCATCTGCACTCAAATCTGTAAAATAAAACACGCGGGAATAGAGAAAATCGATACTTACCTAAACCGAGGTATAGTGGTTAATCGATACAAATAATTAAATTCAACTACAACTTTGCTTATAACTTTCATAAAACTTCGTCTTTTTTGTTCAAATTTTTTCTAAATAATACAACTAATTGCTCCCCATATTACCCTATAGTTTTCTTATTAAATTTTCACTGTTATATTATAAATTTTCACATTTTTCATTATTTTATAGTCGCATATTCACAAATAAAACATAAAATCTTCTCTAACTTTGCATAAAATTTGTCTTTTCTGTTCATATTTTCTTTTTATATAGTGTAACTAATTGCTACCTGTAATTCCCTATAGTTTTTTCATACAATTTTCACAGTAAAATTACAAATTTTCATATAATTCGTTTTCTTAAAGTCGTATTTTCATTAAATTATTAATTTTTTTCAAATCTGCTTTTATTTCGCTCTTTTTGCTTCTGTAAGGTCCGTCTAGTGTAGAAACTGCCATCTGAACTCAAATCTGTAAAATAAAACACGCGGGAATAGAGAAAATCGATACTTACCTAAACCGAGGTATAGTGGTTAATCGATACAAATAATTAAATTCAACTACAACTTTGCTTATAACTTTCATAAAACTTCGTCTTTTTTGTTCAAATTTTTTCTAAATAATACAACTAATTGCTCCCCATATTACCCTATAGTTTTCTTATTAAATTTTCACTGTTATATTATAAATTTTCACATTTTTCATTATTTTATAGTCGCATATTCACAAATAAAACATAAAATCTTCTCTAACTTTGCATAAAATTTGTCTTTTCTGTTCATATTTTCTTTTTATATAGTGTAACTAATTGCTACCTGTAATTCCCTATAGTTTTTTCATACAATTTTCACAGTAAAATTACAAATTTTCATATAATTCGTTTTCTTAAAGTCGTATTTTCATTAAATTATTAATTTTTTTCAAATCTGCTTTTATTTCGCTCTTTTTGCTTCTGTAAGGTCCGTCTAGTGTAGAAACTGCCATCTGCACTCAAATCTGTAAAATAAAACACGCGGGAATAGAGAAAATCGCCCTCCCACCCTCCCTGTTTTCATTATTTAAGTAAACTTTCATACTTCTTATTATAAGTCATAATTATTTTCGTCTTTTTCATTTAGATTTTCTTTTTATATAGCGTAATTTATTGTCCCTTGTATTTTCACATAGTTTTCTTTATATATTTTCACATTTAAATAATTTATTTTCATATAATTCGATTTTCTAATAGTAGTAAATTCATAAAATTTTAAACTTATTTTTTAAGTCTTTGTTTATTCCGCCCACCCTCTCGGTTTTCATTACTTAAGTTGTTTTACATCACACAAATGTCAACTTTGAAAAATACTTGTTCTGAAGTCGATCTCAGCCAAGAATCCATTAAAGCGACTAACAGGGCTGAAGATCCCATCCATATAACCGACGACGAATACGAAGAGGCACGGTCTGACCACGGGTTAAATCTGAACGAAGAATACCTAGCAAAAATATTAGAAAACATAAATTTTATTCAGCAAAATTTAGACGGCAATAGAAGCGTTACGCGCCAGAATAAAGAAAACATCAAAAAATCGTTGGATGAAATTAATCGCAGTTCTCAACAATTGTTCGATCAAGTGAAAACCGTTTTACGGCATTCAATATCATCAGCCGAAAATAAAACTGTGACAATCATCAGGAACACTATTAAAGAAGAGCTCTTAAAGTTTACCCAAAAACCTCAACAACTATACACTCAGCCATTGCAACGTCCACTTCTATCACCTTCAACCACTACATCACCCATATCGTACGCTAACGCTGTTAAATCTTCCACGCCTGTAAATAAATCCATTCCCATAACAAAACCGGCAATCATTGTTAGTGCGAAGCAGCCAGTTTCTTCTCCACAAGATACTATTAGTGCTTGGCGGAAAAGTGTACACTTTAAGCACTATACCTTCAGTCCCGCTGACGTCAAGCAAGTATCTAACAATAAACTCAGAGTAGAGTTCGATAACGAAGAACAACGGGACAAGGTTATTGACGCCGCAAATCAGCCAGATAGCTTGGTTAACGCTGATATAGCCAAGAAACTGAGGCCTATGATAATATTAAAGGGCGTCTATATCGACACCCCAGTAGCTGAACTCAAAGAAATTATTATAAATCAAAACCCAAGAATAAAAAGTGAAATAAAAACTCCTGACGATATAACCTTCCGTTTTATAAAAAATAATAAAAATAAAAAACTATACAACCCTGTTTTTATGGTAACTCCTCAAATTTGGAGAACTGTTATAGAACTACAGAAATTAAATATTGATCATCAGAGAGTACATACTGAAGACTACCCAGCGTATCTTCATTGTTACAAGTGCCTTAAATTCGGTCACACGAAGAAACATTGCACAGAAAACAAAACAATTTGCTCCTACTGCTCATCATTTGACCACTCCTACAAAGATTGCCCAGTCAAAAAAGACGAAACTAAAGTCAACTGTTACAACTGCTCACTACATTGCAAGAAATATAATTTGAATTTAAATACTCAACATAGTGCCACGTCGCTACTTTGTCCCCGCTTACAAAAACAGATAGAAAGCTGCAAAAACAGAACTGACTATGGACATCAGAAATAGAAACAATACAATCTCTAAAAATCACCCCGCAATAAAATGTTTACAAATTAACCTTGACAGGGGCTATGCAGCAACACACGAAATGTTTACATATATTAACAATAATCAAATTGATGTAGTTTTTATCAGCGAACCATATGTAGGTAAAAATAGTTCTATGAATCCATGCCCTAATTACAATATTTATCAGTTCCCAACTGATCGTCATGTTAAAGCATGTATTCTTGTAAGACAGAAAATTGGATGTACCCTGGGTATGTCCGAATATTCTTCTCCAAATCTGTGCATTGTGCAAATTGTCATCCGCGGTAAAAAAGTATTTTTAATTAGTGCATACGTTGAACCTAGGAACGATGAAATAAACACAATCAATTCATTAGATTTCTTCCTCCAGAATAATCCAAACTCTATACACATTATTGGCGGAGATTTCAATGGATGGCACCCCCTATGGGGTTCAGTGCGAGCCAACCGCCGTGGTAACAACATCGTAAACCTGATCACAACCAATAATCTAAACATTTGTAACATCGGCACCGATCCTACTTTTGAAACAGTCTCTCATAACATCCATCGGGAATCAATTATAGACCTAACTCTCACCTGCAACTCACCGCCAAATCAAATATCAAACTGGAAAATTACAAAAGAATGTAGTCCAACATCTAGTCATAATGGCATTATTTTCGAATTACAAATGAATAAAAGTTCATTAACAAGAGCCAAAAAACTGTCCACCTTCAAGTACAACACACAAAATATAAAATGGGACGATATAAAAGAAGTATTTCAAAAACGAATTAGTGAAAACTTAGACCTAGATATCAATATTGAGCATCTTAACACTACAGAGCTTGAAAAATATGTCTCAAAATTAACGTCGGTTATTCAAAATGTTTGCAATAAACTGTTTCCACAAAAAGGCGAACACGCCCATAGAGCTCCGTGGTGGAATGAAAAACTAGAGAGTCTTAAACAAAAAGTTTTAAAAAACCACCACAAACTACAACAACTAAAGCGTAATAAAAAACCCATGACCGACGCACTATCAGAAAAAGAAAAGCTAAAAAATGAATATTCGCAAGAAATAAGAGCCGAATCAACAAAACACTTCAAAGAATTTTGTAATAAGCAAGGAAAGGAGGACGTTTGGAGCGTTACGAATAGATTATTAAAAACAACACCACTAACAAAGCCTCCTACTACTCTTAAAACTAAATCTGGTAACTACACCTCAACCACCCAAGAGACCGCTGAAACTTTCCTTAAAGAGTACTTTCCTGAAGATGAACCGGACACAAATCCACGGCACACAACGATAAGGAGACTATCTAAAAAAATACCTGCAACGCTACCAGAACCTCCATTCACAGTCGACGAAATAATAAATGCAGTATCCTCCATGAACCCCAAGAAATCTCCAGGTCTTGACCACCTCACAGCCGATATCTGTACAAATTTTATTAAATTATTCCCATCTGTGGTAACTAAGCTAATGAATAGATGCCTTCAACTCTCGTACTTCCCAAAAGCTTGGAAAGTTGCTTATATCAAAGTCATACCAAAGCCTAATAAAAGCGAACATACAACATCTTCATACAGACCAATAGGCCTAATAAATGTCTTCGGAAAGGTTCTAGAAAAACTTATTACGAAACGATTAAAACATCATCTTCATATAACGGGCACTATGAGTAACATGCAGTTTGGATTTAAAGAACAGACATCAACAACTAATGCTATCCAGAAAGCACTTGATGTGATTCAAGATGCTAAAGCTAAAAAACTACAAGTAATAGCTATATCTCTTGACATCCAATCCGCATTCGACAATGCATGGTGGCCAGCGATTTTCCACAAACTCAACACTGTACACTGTCCCTCTAACTTATTCAAACTGTTGCAAAATTATGTTAAGGATAGAACGGTCAGGCTTGATTTTGCTGACAGTTCATGTACCAAACCTATGTCTCGAGGATGCATTCAAGGTTCAGTTTGCGGTCCTGTACTATGGAATCTGGTTTTAGACGAGCTCTTAACGGCTGAACTACCTCAGGGATGCCACCTTCAAGCCTTTGCAGATGACATTCTCTTAATCACACAGTCGAAAGACATAACTACACTTGAAAATATAACCAATGAAGCGCTTACTAGAATAACCGATTGGGGAATTAGTGTTAAATTGAAATTTGGCCCACAAAAGACACAGATGATTTCATTTACAAACAAAGCTAGGAAATGTCAAATAATAATGAGTAATCAACAACTGCAATTTTGTCGTCAAATAAAGTATCTTGGAGTAATCGTTGATCAAAAATTAAATTTTATTAAACACGTAGATCACATTATAAATAGGTCGTACAAACTCTATCAGAAGCTTGCTAAATTTATTAAACCTACTTGGGGAATAAATTCAGAGAATGTCCGTTCTATTTATAATGCCGTAATAGAGCCGATAATGTGTTATGCTGCAAGTATCTGGCAACCAGCGCTAAAATACAAATATGTCCAAAAACGTCTTCTCTCTCTGCAACGCAATTTTGCAATAAAAATTATAAGAGGTTTCCGGACCCTTAACACTTCAACTGCTATCTCTCTAGCACAACTTCCACTCTTAAATATTAAAATTGAAAATTTTGCCGACATTGAAATAACTAAACACCGGAAAACATCTAAATACCTCCCAAATGACATTGAATTGGAAAAACTAGCTTCCCCAGCAGAACTCCCACATCCATCAAAAAGAAGACCAGTACAATTTTCTGAAATTACTTGCCAGGAAGATTTAAAAAAACTCACAATTAATACCACAACCAACATATTTACTGATGGCAGTAAAAATGAAGACGGAGTTGGAGCAGCACTAGTAGTTCATCACACTGAAGGCTTAAATATTATAAAAAAATATAAATTGCACAACACCTGCTCTGTTTTTCAGGCCGAGTTATTTGCCATTTTACAAGCAACTAACTGGATATTAGAAAACAAAATGCTTGACTTCACAATATTTTCTGACAGCAAATCCGGACTCTTAGAAATCAGTAATCCAGACACGACTCATCCAATAGTTGTTCAAATCCATCGAAACATTATGCAAGCTCAATCACAAAATAAAGTGATCAAATTTTTTTGGACAAAAGCACATAATGGCATCCTTGGAAACGAAAATGCGGATAGAGCTGCGAAAGCAGCTACAAAATTGAATAAAGTGCCTGACTATGCGAAGTTCCCAATAAGTTATATTAAGAAAATACATCAGCACAACATCACTACAACAGCTGAAAATTATTATAATGATCCTGCAAATTGCACTTACCTTAAAACTTGGTTTCCCACTTACGAAAAACTTCAAACAGCTTTGGAAAAAATTAAACCCAACTTTTATAGTACACAAATATTTTCAAATCATGGTTTCCATAAAAGTTACCTGCATAGATTTAAAATAGTTCAAAATGAAAATTGTCCATGTGACGACATAACGCCCCAAACTATTATCCACTTAATAAAGGTATGTCCTAAATTTAGTTTAAGTAGAATAGACCATGAAATTAACTGCCAAAATCTCAGAATAGATCCATTTATATTAAGCGAAGTAGTTCAAAAAGAATCGTCAATAACAACATTCGAGAAACATATAAAAACCATCGTAAAATCATTAAAAAACTTTAACAGTTAAATATACCTACACAATCATATAATAAGAATAA